AGGGGAGGGAGTAGGCATGGATTTGACCAAAACACCTTATACGCATGTATGAAATTCTCAATATATTTTAAATTCATTTTTAAGTGTATGAATGTTTTGCCTGCATGTATGTAAGTGTACTCATATCCTGCAATGCCTGTGGAGGACAGAAGAGGGCATGAAGTTAGGGACAGTTGTTAGCTGCCATGTGGATGCTAGGAACTGAGGAACTGAACCTTGGGTCCTCTGCAAGAGCAGTCAGTGCTCTTAACTACTGAGCTATCTCTCCAGCTCAGTTTTTCAGTTTTTAAGCTGTTGGGGGAATAGGCTGCAAGTTCTTCATATGTTCAGATGGATGCAAGAAGAAGTCTGTATTCTTGAATTTTTAATGTCCTATTCTTTGTCTCAAGGATAGTGGCTATTCCAATCATGCCTTCAAAAAGCCTAAGAATCTCAAGGGTATTTGATGAAATGCTACATAGACTAAATGGTTCAAAGTGACATTATTTTCTGATAGTGATATGGCACAGCTAGCTTCAAGTATGTATTACCAAATGGTCTTTCCTCTTGGATCCTACACAGTTCTCTAATATTCTTAAAATCCTTCCTTTGAATCATAACCAGACAGTGTGTTATTATTTCTGTATACATAATACATATATATTACTTTACTATTCATAATCCTAAACACTTTTAGACCTTTAAAGGGTGCTAGAAGCCTTTCCAAATAGAAATATTAACACAGAGCAGGAAAACCAACAAGTTGAAACAGTGTCATTAACATAATATGTGACTTAGACAGATATCTTAGAAATTTCATTGACCTTAGAGTTCATAACCCATCAAATACAGGAATATAATGGGATGCAAGACAAATTTTTATTGCTGTTATTAAAATTTAGTAAACTCTTCAACAATGCCTTTCCTTCATAATTAGTCCAGGAATCAGAAATAACAATGCACAGCTTCATAGTAAATTTTATAGCTGCCCATTAACTGGAAAATACTGGCACTTAAGAACATGATCCTTTGAAAGCAGATTCAAAGTATGAAAGATTTTTCTTTCAAAGATAAAAATATCCACTTAACACCGTTTAAATGAGCTCCTTAATACACATAAGTTGTGGAGTAACCCAGGAGTAACAATCAAATTGTTTAGGTATAGACTAACATGATGCACACATTTAATCTCTAACATTTCTATCCTCCACTCTTGGATATACATGGAATTATTACTGTTTGTTTTACTATCTACAAATGCTCATAGGTTTGATAAAATAAAAATCCTGGGACAAAAGATCTGATGCTTTACACTCCATTTCTCCTTTACAATGATATTAAATACCGAAGACCTGCTAAAACCCATGATCTTTATTTGCATTTTTTTAAAAATTTTTTTTAAATTAAAGTTTTAACAATATACAAAATGTTACAGTAATTCAGATTTTTTGGCATAATGATTACAGATTTGACAAATACATTTTATATCTCATAATAGCGATGAAGATTATACAAAAGCTATTAAAACCATTATGAGAATAAATTCAATTGTCACTTAAATATCTAAAGCTATTTTCCTTTGCGTTCTTCCAGAATGATTTGTTCTTATTCTTTTGCATTTTTTTTTGGACAAGGTCTCCCTAGTCCCAGCACACCTGAAACTCACTAGGTATACCAGGTTGGCCTCCATCTCACAGAGATCTGCCTGCTTCTGCCTCCCAAGGGCTGGTATTAAAGGCATGTGCTGGTATTGTATTTTATTAAATACATACTGTACTTATTTTATAGAATAAAACCAAAACTTAATCAAGACTTTCCTTAGTCCGAATCAGAATTCAAATATAGATGTGGTTACAAAGCCTATATTTTAAATTACAGTTTTAAAAACCAGAGTATAAATATTTAGAAATAAAGTCAACTAATTTCTTTCATCAGAAGCTTACCACAGTTCAGATTTATCATTTGCTTTCAAAGAGCTTGCTTTACTACTTTTTCCCATTTAATGCACCAACATTCTATTCATGTACATAAATGTAGTTTTAAAATGGGATAACTGTAATTTAATACAGATTAATCAATTTTTTATAGTTATATATGAGTTGTTTCCATTTTTTGCCATAAGAACGTTGGTAATAAGCACTGCTGTGCCTAAATTTTAACTTCCTATTAATATAAATCTCTGTAAGTAAAAAACTATGCATAACATTGTGAAAATGTTTGTGCTAAAATGGAGTGGCAAATACAACATGAAGCTTAAATATCTTTTTAATTTCTATGTGTGAGTCTTTTCTTTGCATATATATAAGTACACCAGTGTCATGAAATGCCCAGAGGCCAGAAGGTGGCATTGGACAGCCTAAGAACTGGAGTTAAGGACGGCTGGTAGCAACCATGTAGGTGCTAGGAACTGAACCTAGATTCTCTACAAGAGTAGCGAGTGCTCTTAACTGGTTAGCCATCATTCCAGCCCCAAGTTTAAGTATCTTTATCCAACAATAAAGAACTGTAATCACTTTTCTTTCACAATCATTTCAGCTCTAACACACGGACTGTGGGCATTATACAAATTGTTACAAAGACATTGTGGGTAAATGAAAACCCTTCTTAACTGGACAAGAACAGTGTTTTTTAACTAGGGCTTAATGATAAGCTATCTTATTTGAAGTCTGATAAAAGGATAGGGGTAGATATACTAATACAGAGTATCTTGGCTTGCTGAGATTACAATGAAATGTTATTCTTAAATATCTGTGTAGACTCATGTTCAGAGCTAACTCACTGTCATATGTTCTACTAGTTACTGGAAAATCAGTTTTTAATAACAATGAAACGGATCCAATCTTCTCAATTAACTTTCAAAATGTTATTCTGTAACCAGACTCACATGAAAAGTCCTTTGTTATGTACTCTAGGATTATCTATCTTCTTTTGAGATAGCAAGACTACACAAACACTGGGGTATTAGATAACTATAAAATGCGCATTGAGAGAGAAAATAATTAATTCTCATTATATTTAAGACTTTCAAAGAATGGATATATGTAGCTCATTGCCCAAAAAGGCTGGATTCTGTTTAATTAGAATGCCACTTACTCGTGGTGATGTGATAAATTTTCTCTGGTGTATTCAGGAGATATTTAGAAGGACACAGTATAAACAAAGTAGGTCTCAAAGCTATTTCAATGATAGTGACAGAAAAATGATACACAGAACAAGATTCCATGAGAGCTCTGTGATCTGAATATTCAAAGGAGCCCATGCCTTTAAAAATATTTTAAAATTTATTTTATTTTTATGTGTATGAGTGTTTTGCCCGCATGTATGTAAGTACAGCATGTGTGGGCAATGCCCACAGAGGTGAGGGAGAGGGTGTAGGATCCCCTGGAAGTGTAGATAAGGATGGATGTTAGCTTTCATGTAGATGCTGGGAACTGAAACCTGGTCCTCTACAAGAGTAGCCAGTGCTCATAACTGCAGAGCATCTCTCCAGTTCCCATCCCATGTTTTCTTAATTACACATTTCCTCTTAATTTATGGAATACAGAGACATATACTCAGGTCCCTTTGTCCACATTTTAAAAAAATCTGCTTATTTTATTATTTTTTTTAAAAGTAATCATTTGAAGGCAAGTTCAGTTAAAGCTGAAAATGTGTACTCTTTATTTTTTTTGTCCTTTTGAGAGAGGGTCTCCTTATAGTCCCAGCTGGCCTGGAACTAGCTATGTAGGCTGGCCTTGATCTCACAGAAATCTGCCTACCTCTGCCACATAAGTGCTGGGATTAAAGGAGTATGCCACCATACCCGGTTGTATTTTTTTTTTTTTTAATCCAAAGGACTTCTTATGGGTAATACACACAAATTTACCACCATTTATTGGTGATTAATGAAAAAGTCCAACTAAGTGATACCCCTATACACGGACCCTCCTAATTTCATAATCCTTAGGCTAAAAGATATGAAAGGGAAATCATATAATGTGTACACACACACACACACACACACACACACACACACACACACACACACACACACAGAAAAACACACAAGAAGACTCAACATGGTATGTTAATTGTAAAATTATAAGTATTTTAATTTTCTCAATGACATGTTATTTACTGTTACTCATTGTGATCATAGCACTACTAAAATATTCAATTTTCTGCCATTAAAAACAAACAGAAAAATCCCAAACCGTCAGAGTAATAACCGACTTAGGCAAGAACTATCAACAGAAGTTGAACCTAAATATATAAAAACTGGAAGAGAAACAAGATATTTGATTTTTGCCCTTTAGTATTTCTAAACACAAAAACTGTATTATAATAAATTACTGCATATTATTACATGCAAGTAAATAAATGCATTGATAATAACAGCTAGTTTTTTTCATTTAACTATTTAAAGCTAATATGATAACACAGTTTTGAGGATCATTTATTTACCCAGAGGCAATATACAGGTCAACTATAGCATAAAGGATGAGAAGGTGATAGATGGTACTATGAAGAAGCAAGGTATGGACACTGTATATTGAGGGTAAAGTAGAGAATTTATTGTCAAAATATATATATAAGAAGTCATCCCTAACCACACATTGTCTGCAAGGTATCCATTATACTGGTAAACACACAGAATTAAATGATACAAGATAATATTGGAAGTCAAAACAAAAGACAGAAATGTAGTAGCAGTTATATTAGCAAATACAACTGACCTTAAGGCAAGGATTACCAAATGTAGAGAATTTTTTACTCAGTATCAGATTTAACATTTAATAGCAGAATTTTTAACTTTTGTTAATAAGGTTTACTAGAATAAAGCTAGAACTATTTACTTACAAAGATGCTCTTCTGCTACAACTGCAGGGCTCAATAGTTGTGACTGAGACCCTATGTCTCATGCAGCCAAGATAACCACCTTAGCTCATGACAGAATCTTACAAATTCTTCAGATAACTAGTCTTTATGGCATTAATAAGACCCAAAGAAGCACTAATCTGAAGCTTTCCTAAGACATAGTGTTACCTTTTTATACTGGTACTAAATAAACAGTTCAGTATAAACTTTAATCAACCAAAATTTAAGAGAATACCATTTGTTCAAGTGTTAAGTATAAAAGATAAAAGGAATTATGTAGTGTGTATATTTTAGAAATAACCTTGTCCCACAAAAAGTTTAAGCATATTTGAGTAATTCCAGTGATGCATTTTATAAGATCTATTTTTTCCACTGGGAAATCATATAAGCATAACAATCATTTCTAAAACTTTGACCACAGTTTAACAGTCTATACTTAATCAAAAACTTTTTAGAAAATAAAAAAAAATTTAGATAGAAATTTTGCTTTTAAAATTTGAGGTACATAGAACCAGAAACAAAAAAATCAAATAAAGAAACAAGAAACACAACTAGAAAGGCACCAGTATACTACGGGCTATATAAAAGTACAACAGGAACGATAAGAAATGTGCTACAATAAATAAAAGTGGTGAAGCACAGTGATTAATTAGTACTCACCTTTAAAGTTGAAGTATGATATTTTTGGCCTCCAGAGACAAAAAATTAGAAATAGGTTAAAATGACTGTGTCTTTTAAAAAGGTTCCTGGCAATATACATGGAGTATAGTAGCCCATCCCCTCATCTCAAGACAATGTATTCCAAATCTCCCACAGATGACTGACACCAGAGATAGTAAGGACTAATTCCTGCAGGCATTAACTTTTTCCTATATCTGTTATAAAATTTAATCAACTGCCATAATCGCCCCCCGCCAGTGGTTTCATCCCTATGTAATCCAAACTAGCCAGGACTTCACTGTGTAGCTCAATTGACATACAATTCTCACTTACCTGCCTCTGCTTCCAAAGTACCAGGGTAATAGGCACATACCACTGTGCCTGGCTATAAAGTTTAGTAACTTATAGATTATAAATGCAAGAGAATAACAGTGGGCAATAATAATAATAAACTCAGAATGATTATAAAAAGATGCAATAAATTTTTTAATGATAGTCTTGATCTCAAAATATTGTACTCATCCTATTTCTTGAAATTATGTGAGAAAATTTTACTACTTTTGCGTGTTTGGGGCTGCTATTAAGTACTGTAAAAGAGTTTCTTGAATATAGCATTACAATACCGAGAACAAGATCTTTATAAATATGTTGACTAGTGTGGCCAAATAGCAGATGATTCATGACCCAAAATAAAGCAGGATGATACAATACCCTACCACACTCAGAATCATGTGCAACTTAAAACTTATGAATTATGATTCTAATTTTCAGACTAATGTCTACCATTGTAAGCAAAACTGCCGAAAGCAGTATCACTGATAAATTGGGGCTACTGTCTCTGTTGTACAGATCCTTAAAAAAGGCAAATATGCAAAAATTCAATAAAAAATGTTATTTTAAAAAAGGCAAACAGTTCTTTAAATGAAGGTAAACTCATAAAAAAGAGCTGTCAGGTATATCCAACCTGGGATCCTTGGGTAGCATGTGACCCAAGATAGCTATGGAAGTACCAAACACATTTGTTTGCCATGTTGTTATATGGCAATGTTAAAATGCCCAATGTAATAGCTATTAAAACAAATTAAAAAATCCAGTTCTTCAGCTGAACAGGCCACATTTCAAGTGCTCCACAGCCACAGATAACTAATGGTTATAAGATTAGATAGGACACTGTAATCATGCAGTGATGTGGCATGGGGTTATGCTCTGTGCCTAGGCACACTGTATAGTTTTAATTTTTCTAAAACCTTTGGTTCATACATTATTTCTTTTTGTTCTTTTCATTTACAGAGCTTTTGTTCTCCAGTTACATTTATTCATTTAAATAACTTTTACATACTAATTTAGAAAAAAATGCACAAAATTTCCTAAGAACTTAAGAATTTAAAGAAATTCTAGCACTGTGACAGTGGGGTGGTACATGCCTTTAAGTCCAGCACTCAAAAAAAAAAAAATCTAGAACTGGGAAAAAATAAATACAGAAAATACCACTATAGCTTTATATTCCTTAATTATTAAAATGCAAAAATATGATTATATCTAAACATAAATTCATATATTTTATGATATAAAAATAGAAGCAAAACTAAATTCAGTTAAATCAGAGATACAGTACAGAATGCACTAATAGTATGACAATGTATCAAAATATCCATGTAAAATATTTGCTTAAGTACATCACACTTAGATCTTTTTTGGACAACAGGGTCTTCCTGTAGCCCCAGCTGGCCTAGAACTCACTATGTAGACCAGGCTGAACTCTTATCTCACAGAGTGTCTCCTGAGTGCTGGATTAAAGATGTGTGCCACCATGACCAGCCACCACGACTTAGCACATTTGACTCAAATGAAAAGTACTAAGAGTTCTCTAGTGTGAAAGAAATACATGTATAAGGATATTTATAACTTAAAAAAAATTTACTTATATTTTTATGTGTATGAGTGTATTACCTGCATGGAGGTAAGTGCACCCATGTCGTGCAATGCTCGTGGAGGTCAGAAGAGTCTGTCAGATCCCCTGGGACTGGTGTTACAGAGAGTTGTTAGCTGCCATGTGGGTGCTGGGATTCAAACCTGGGTCTTCTATAAGAACAACCAGGGTTCTTAACCACTGAGGCATCCAGCCCCAGGATATTTATAACTTTGCTTTAAAACTAAATGGATCAATTAAAAACTAAACATTAAATATGTATTATATATATAGTTAATAACATATTTCTGAATATGTAGCTAGAACAGAAATTAAAATTATTTAATTCTGTGGCTCCTGTCTGTAATACCAGGGTACTTAGAAAGAGGAAGTAGGAGATTGCTGAGTTCAAAATAGGCAGACTACGTAGTGAGTTCTAGGTCAGCATAGGTTATAGAGTGTAACTTTGCCTCAAAAAGTTAACAACAACAACAAAAAAAAAAGCAAAAAGAGAGACTTTGAGGCCAGCCTAAAATATGAAAAATTATCTCAAAAACAAAGTATTTAAAGAAAAAAATTAAAGTTTTAAATAACTCAAAAATTATTAAGAGACTCTGTAATAATTTAACATGATAGCTGCTTCCTAATTTTTATACATTAATTCTGATGACTACTACACTGTTTTCAAATTTAGAATTTAGGCTAGCCATTACTGCATTTTAAATGCAATAAGAAAAAGTACTTTAAATTCAGTATTTTAAATTTAGGGAAAAATTTCTATAGTATCATATCATTTTTTTGCTGTTTACAATTTATTAACCTTCAAGAAGAATGCGCGATTTAAAAATCCAAATACAGTCTTATGCGTTATGTGATAGGATAACATTTCAATGACAGGCCATGTTTATCATAGGGGTCCTATAAGATGACATTGCCTAGTGACATTTTACCCCTCTTAATTTTTGTGTGTCCATTCTACGACGTTAACAAATAAAGCACTTAAAAATGCATTTATGAAAATGTCTCTTAGTCACTGAGCAACTCATGATTGAAATCACAAATAAGAATATATTAGACATATAAGAGGGAATATTAGAAAAGCCAAAACCATAAAAGTGAAAAAGAAAATTCTTTTCCAAAGACCAAATAAAACATGTATCAAATTAGGATCTTTACTAAATTAATAATTAGATATCAAACAAATGATAATTGTTTTGGAGTCACAAATATCTCCATTTACGACCACCTGCAATATATAAATACATCAGAAAGTAATGAATTTCAAATTCTCAAAAGACATAACGTCTAAATACTGAGATTCACAGTTTCTGGATTTATTTTTCCACCACTTAAACTGTGGATCATCGCTATCATGTGGGAATGTTTGTTCAGCTCCTCTTGCTGAAGTTTCACCAAAGACTCTTTCTCTTCCAAACGACCTTCCAATTGAGCCTTCTGAACCTCTAGGGAGGAAGCCTAAGGAATGAGGAAAAGAGCGAAGAAACAGAATAAACAGAACAGAATGTCTTCTCTTCACAGATATTTTAAGATTTTTTTTTATTCTTTACTTGTGAGTCATTTTCAGACAAATTATAAACACGGGCTGTGCTCTAATTATATGGTAAATTTAAGATACTGTAGTGGAAATTGGCAACTTTTAAATTTATCTTATTTTTTTTGTGGTCTTTTTGAGACAAGGCTGGCCTTGAAATCACAGAGATCCACCTGGCTCTGCCTCTGGAGTGCTGGGATTAAAGGTGTGTACTACCACACATGGCTAAATTCTTAAAGTCAATGATAGTAGCTACGATTTTTGCAAAATATACTACACACTACTATTTAGTACTAAAATGATAACCAAATTGATGCAAATTCCTCCCAACTTCTAATCGTGGCATTAAATATTATGCCTCTTGTGTTTTATTTCCTCTGTCATAGTTCAGTCTTCCAGGCTTGGGTTGTTTCTACCTTCCTAGTAAATGGGAAAGAACACACAATTCATGGCTATCTTTCAAGTTACACAATCATAATAATATAAAATAAGCACTACATTAAAACTTAGAATCTTGGTCTATTATTGGAATTATTTATAAGCTCAGACTTCATTTCTTCATTTTTAAGTTTTAAGTATTAATATTTTGGCATTAATATATTAAAGAGAAGATAATTTTAAAAATCAGAGTTCTCTGCAAATTACAAGGTTCTAAAATACAAAATTTTTACCAGTAGAGACATAGCCATAATCCTACATAAAGCTGTCAGCAAGCCACATCACTAGAATACTGTACTCTCTACACAATTGAGAGCTATAAGGGCTGGTACACAGTCAACACTTAATAAATCTATGATTCTAAATCACTGAAGAAACAGATCATCAATGTTCATCCTTTACAAAAACTACTTCATTTGACTGCAATGAAAACTGAGGGAGTCTTACCTTAATGCTCAGCTCTTTTCTTATCTGTTCTGTTCTGCTTAATTCTTTTCTAAGGATATCAATGGCTTCTTGCTTATCTTCCTTTTCCTTTTGTAAAACATTAATTTTTTCTTCTTGAGCTTTTAATTTTTGATGCAAATCTTAAAACAAATGAATAATTATATATTGCTGAAAAAGTTAGCTACTAAAAAAGAAAAAGAAAACAATAAGGAAGATGACAAAATATCTTGCTTGTAATGTTTTACAGAATTTACTGAATAAAAAACACAAGGGCCTAGGAGACAGCTTAGAAGGTAAAAGTACTTGTCATGAAGTCTGACAACCAGAGTTAATACCTGGAAGGATGGAAGTAGAGGACAGAATCCTGCAAGTTGTCCTCTGAACGCCGTATGTGTACCAACCCACCCACTTGTGACCTCCCAAAATAAACTGTATTAAAAAAAAAGACCAAAAACAACTTTTATAAAACTCTTCCTTTATATTAATAGTCTATATAAAGCCCAAATTTTGTTGGGCATGGTGGTACATAGCTTTAGTCCCAGCACCCAGGAGGCAGAGGCAGGTGGATGTCTGTGAGATTGAGGTCAGCCTTGTCTACATAGCAAGTTCCAAGCCAATTGTGGCTACAGGGAGAGAGAAAAAAAAAAAAAAATCAGATCTTCATGATTTTCTCCACTTTCTCTTTTATATACAAAGATTAGGGCAACCCTCTGAGATTAAGGGCTACAGAAAAGTGTAAAAGCCATGCATAATTACACAGGTTGGGTCTCTGTGCTCTAAGGAAAGTGAGTTAGAACACAAATGTTTTATGGGTCATTTTATAGATGCAGCATTAAAATACTAGTAACTATAAGCTACCTAGCACTGCCATCTGCTGTCATATTCCTAACAAATATTTTATTTAAAAAGGGCAATCCATTCCTGTAACCCCTAGAGCTGGGGAAAAAAAACTACTACTTTTTCAACTTGATCAAATAAATGAAATTACTTTTATGAAGTGTTAAAGGGAAGTTGTTTAGAAAGTGACTTAAAGTTTAAAACTTAAATAAAATAATAAACTAAAACCACTCACATTCTGATTTTCTTCCAGAAAAATATGCTAAAAACAAAAAATGTATTAAACAAAAAGTTACTTACTTGTTAATTTACATTCTCTGTCTACTAACTGGTTCTGGACTTCTTTTCTCTGTTCTTCTTTCTCTATCAATTGAGCAATAGTTCTGAAGTTATAAAAGAAAAATCATTCAAATATATTATTTGTGACTATTTGCTCCCCCTAAACTATTTTTAGTGAAAAACCATAAGAACTCTAATTACCTGTAAAATATGCCAAATGTATATTTTGTATTTAAAAGAAGTGATAATTTTACTAATTCTATCAATAAAAAACAGTATTCTATGTAGAAAGAGAATTGTTTTTCTAAAATATCAAATAATTAGAATATAGAACTAGAGATGTTACCTTTCATTTTGTTGCTTGAGTGACTCATTCAACTTTTTCACTGTCTCAATTTGCTTATTCAGTGAATCACATGTAATCTGTAAGTCATTATTCTTTTTTTCAGTAGTTTCATTTCTGAAAAGACAAGGAACTGTGTTAGCGTCTTTATGGAGGAAAGCAGGGTGGAAATCTGAAAACGCCTAACAAAATTATAAATGCCTATACTCTTCAACCCTGCAATTTGTCTACAAGAGCTTATTGTCCGTACAATATTTAACTATATTTAAAAACCATAAGAAATGATATTAGAAAAAATGATACGAAACTTTCAATATTCAACTACTATTGACTAACAGAAATGACAAACCAGCAGTCATTTCTAGTATTTATACAAATACAATAAAGTTAATTAAAAATTTTTTACATTTATTGATTGTGAGTCTACGTATGCATATATACACACATGTGTGAGGACAACTTGTAGGAGTTGGTTTTCTCCTTCTACAATGTGAATTCTGGGGATCAAACACTGGTGGCCAGGCTTGGTGAGATGCACCCATTGAGCCACCTTGTCAGCATCTCATTCAATAATCTTTAATGGAGCAATACCTACTTATGAAGCCCTATTTTGTTCTAGGCCACAGTGATTCATCACTGATCAAAATGAAGAAACTTATCTTTGTGAAAGCCTACATTCTAGATGACTTGTGACTATATTAGCAACTAAAAGAGGTAAATAAAGAAATAAAGGTCTCTATTGTTTCAAATATCAGTGAGTATGAGGAATAAAAAGTTCATTTCACTATAACTTAAGTTTCTTACAAACTTCTTATGACGACTTATGAAATGCTTACACAAGCAGCTTAGAGTCTCAGAAATGTGGTATATTCATCTAGCTTCTAATTTCACACTGAAACTTTTACTTTATTTACCTCTGAACAAGTTCCATGTAGGACTTTGTCAGTATTTCATGTTCTTCAGCCACAGACTCTAGCTTCCTACTATGTTGAAAGAGCTGCTCAATATCATTCTGTGCTCTTTCCGACTCAAGCTGTTGTGACTTCAGCAACAGACTAAGCTCTTCATTTTTTCTCTCAACTTCTCTTAACATACCCGCAAGTGTCCGTGCCTTAAAAAAAGATGGTACATGGGAGTTTTCTACTATCACACATATAGTTATGCAGCACACCACAATGTTTGGCCAATAACACATCACCCAAGCTGGTGGTGGTTCCACAGGACTATTTTAGAAGTTAATACAATTAAAATTGAAGGGAAGTTTCACAATGGAGGACTTGTAATGCTCAAGACAATTCACCTCAATTAGAACATATATTTATTTAGTTTTTCATTTATAACTAGTACTTTGTACTTTTTATTTCATTTACTAAGTTTTCTACTAATCATACATGACTTTACACTGTACATACCTCTGTCTCTGCTTGAGTTCTCTGACAGCGATACTGAGCAATCAGTCTGTCAGCCTGTGCAAGAGCTAGAGCTTTTGCTTCTAAGAGATCTTGTAATCTGCTCTCTTTTGACTAAAAGAAATATTTTTCATTATTTTAGGAAAGCAACTATTAAAACATCTATTACACAGCTAAAATAAATTCATACTCACGGCTAATGTGGCGAGTTTCATCTCATAAACATCCATTATGTCAGACATTCTTACATCATTAATCTGATCCTTTACCTGGGTTTTAATAGAGTTAAAAATCAGAAAATTATAACATCTGAAATAAAATATTAGGATATTATGACAGATTTTTCTTCTTGTCTTTGAACATTTCCAGAATATTACTTTTTATACCATAATACCGTAAAGTTTCAGTGATGAAATCTGCATCTAACTTTGTTTAAATGTTATAATCAGAGTGACATTAAGCTAGCAGGTACCAAAGAAAATTCCATTTATAAGTGTTATTTATGACTCACCATCACTCCAGACTGCAGTTTCTCTATCAGCTCCTCAATGTTTAATCCAGGAACATTATCTTTTGAAAGAGGAGGAGTTAAGCACTTTATTGATGTTGGAAAATTGTGACTTAATGATTGTGAAGGCATTTTCTGGGGCAGATGTTTGGTTTCTTGCTGTCTGTATACATTGTTTGCAGCTATACTTTCTCCAAGTCTGAATGAGAGTCAGAAAGAAAAATAACACAGAAATAGAGAAAAAGACAGAGCTGTTACGGAACTAGGGTGACACTTATAAGGGGTACTGTTTTGAGAACAGAAATCTTCAAATGTTCTTGAAATTATCTTCTTGGTGACTATGATAAAATGGTTTTGAAAAGTTTTCTACATTTTCCAGAGGACTCCCTCTGACTTAAAATCCTTTATGGCAACACTTCCTTTGGTTTGGAAACATTCTAACACAGGTTGTGAGTGTGGGTTATTTGTAATTAGCACAAAATTACTGTAGTACTAAGCAACCTTCTAATCCTAGATGGTACCACCTTTACCAATGCCCTATCCATGCCCTATTCTGACCTTTCTTTTTCTCACTCAGTAAGTTTCCATCAACCTGACTTCCATCCTTCCCTGTGAAAAGCCCATCTTGCTCATGTCTCAGGGCCTTTGGATAAGCTGTTCTTTTAATTAAAACACTCTTCCATCAGAAGAAGGCTAGTCTAAGATCTTGGTTCAAATTTACCTCCTCAAAGAGGTTTTCACTAAAACCCTATTATAACCACTCCTTCCCACAGTGATGGGCATTATATGAACCTTTATTCTTTTTAACTTATCTTCCAATCACACTACAGGGGACCTTGTCTAATTTGTTTGCTAGAGGTAAAATACCTAGAAGGGGGCCTGATTGCACAGTCATAGTTGGACTTTATTAAATGTTTAAATAAAACAAATAAGCAAACACACATACACACACACACACACACACACACACACACACACACACGAGCACACACACAAAATAATTTACCCACCCATTCATCTACCCCCAAAATTTACCTTACTAATTTTCAAGTAAGGACATTTAATCCTAAGTATAAATGGAGCACTTAGAAAAATATCTACAACAAAAGAAAGAGAAGGCTGGTAGTGAAGATAGGGAGGCCTCATCTAGAGGCAGAAGATGTCTATGCTCAGCACACATGAAGCTTTATAGTTTATTTGCCTTCAAGTCAGAATAATACAACCAAAGTATACAAACCACCACAAAATGCAGCAATTTCATTGACAGGCTGTTTTTATCTTTAAACTTGAGAAATTTGTCATCTCTCTTTAGAAAATTAGTTTTGCTAAATATACTTGTCAAGTATAATTTTTTATGTGTATGTATGTATTGCCTGCATGTAAGTAGGTGCATCCGTGTCACACAATGCTCGCAGAGGTCAGAAGAGAAGAGGGTGTCAGATTCCCTGGAACAGGATTTATGGCCAGTTGTTAGCCACCATGTGGGTACTGAGAATCAAACCTGGGTCTTCTGCAAGAGTAGCCAGTGTTTTAACTGCTGGTCAATCTCTCCAGGGCCCAAATTTTTAATTTAGGGTTTTAGTGTGGTGTACACCTTTAATCCAAGCATTCAGGAGGCAGAGGCAGGCAGATCACTGTGAAATCAAGGTCAGTCTGGTCTACATAGTGAGTTCCAGGACAGCTCGAGCTACAGGGAGACCGTGCCCCAAAACAACAATAATAACAACAACAAATTATTAGAATATGTATGAGTTCTTGAATTTATTCCCCTCTACAACAAGTGGTAAAAGGGATTTTGATAGCTTGTATCACTAGTCCTTTAATTTTTAATTTATGATCACCTAAATTGTTAATTATAAAAAATGCATTTAAGGGGGCTAGAGAGATGGCTCAGTGGTTAAAAGCATTGGCTGCTCTTGCAGAGGACCTGAGTTCAATTCCCAGCAGCCACATGGCAGCTGGCAACGTCCCTAACTACAGTTCCATACCTCTGCAGGCATTGCATGACATGAGTGCACTTATATATTTGTAGGCAATATACTCATACATATAAAACAATAAATTTTTAAAAATGCAATTAAAGTCTCTTGATAACAGATAACATGGGTTAGCAAACTCATCTCATACAAGTATTCAACCCTGATGTTAAGAGTGAAAGCAGCCATAGACAATATAGTCAATATTAAAATGACTGATGTGACTTTGTTCTACTAAAGCTATTTACAAAAGCACCAGTCCATCCACCAACTTGCTTATTGACCACTAGGTTTAAACTACTCGAACCATGTTTATATATTACATAAACCATTTAAGGTTTTAAAAATTTACTAAACTCCTACATACCGCAGTACCATTTAGTGTACAGTCACTCTTTACCCCTACAAAAACCTGAATTTTCATAACACCACTGTAAATATTCTATTATTTGAAATTAAAGAATATAGTAGAAAATTCTGCCTGGCCATCATCTATTGCATTTTATGATAAAAACACATACTGTATCTTTACAATCATTCAACTGCCCGTCTCAATGGATTCTGAGCCCATGCAGTTTTCAGGATCCCTTGGCAATGATCCAGAAAAGAAGCTCTTTCTACAAAACTAAAGTAGTATGGTGCACACTTCAATGCCTAGAATCTAGACTTAAAAGAGCCAATTAAGAGAAAAACATGACAGTTCAGTGTTTAAGAGCATGTATTGCTCTTGCAGAGGACCTGAGTTTTGTTCCCAGCACCTATGTGGGATAGTTCACAACCACCTTCAACTCCAACTCCAGGGGATCTAAGGTCTCTGACCTCTGGGGAAACCTGCACTTATGTGTACATACTCATGCACACACATATAATTAAAAATAAAAATAAAGAGAGACAAAACATAGGACCTGCTTAAATACATTTAACCACCTAGATGATCTACTACGTTTTCTCTGGGCAAGTAAACATTTGGCATTTTCAGTTACTAGAATAAAATTTTATTTTAATCATTTGTAAGATTATGGACAATTACAGCAAAAATCTATAGCTTACTATATTGAGAACTATTAAATAAACAGCATGATATTTTAACATCACAAGAGACACATTGCAAATGATTACAACTCACACTAAAGCAGGAAAATCTGGCAGTGGAGCAGCTTCCAACAATATTCCCAGTCCAGACTGTACCTGTTCTCTATTATCTGATGTTAAAGCAAATGCCAAAGGAGTAACCAAACGTGGATCCTAAACAATCAGAAACCAGCAAGTAATAGGAAGAAAGACTGGAGGTTACTATCTTTAGTCAAAGGTAAGCAAGTTCTAAAATGTTTTTAACTGATGTTTGTAGTTACATTTTACATTGTAGCTATTTTTAAGGTAGCTATTCATTTTGCAACTCTTATTTACAGACTGAACAATATCCATCGAAGTGCTGAATGCTTTCAGTTATGCTTACCAGAATCATTACTTAAATATTTTGATGAATTTCAAATATTCACAACTAAATATTTAGTTATTTTATCTAATTACCATTTTGGGGGGGTGTCTTTTGAGACAAGGTCTCCCTGTAGGTTCAGCTGGCCTGGACTTTGCTATGTAGGCTGGCCTTGAACTCACACAGATCCCCTCTGCCTCTGCCTCCTTAGTGCTGGGACTAAAGGCCTGCACTACCACCACACCTGGCTTAATAAAAGAAGTTTTAAATGCCTAATAATTTCTAAAGACATAAAATAAACAAAAACTGAAATTAATTCAAATCAAAAAATCTAATTTTGAAGCAAGATACTTAAGTCAATGTTGATAATTATATAAAACTAATACCATATTTCTAAAAAATTTCTATTATGAAAAAACATCTAGAAATTGACATAAAAACCTTGTGGGTCAGTTCTGTTAGGTGTGGTGTGCGTGTATGTAGGCTAGAGGTCTATGTCAAGAGTCTTCCTCTATTACTCTGCACCTTATTTTTTGGAAATAGGCTCTCTCACTGAACCTGGAGCTCCCAGACTGGCTAGACCAGCTAACAAGCAAGCCTCTGGTATCTTCCTGTATCCACTGGCCAGTGCTGCTATTGTAAGCTAGCTACTTTCAGCACATCCGCACTAATTTATTTTCTCTCTTTCTCTGTATGTCTCTCAGTGAGATAAGATCTCACTATGTAGCCCTGGCCAGGCTGGCCTTGAATTTAGAGATCCGATCAGCCCTCTGCTTCCCAAGTTTTGTGATTTAAAGGTGGCATCACCATGTCAGACTCCACTAATCTTACTATCATTCACAATTAAATCCCTTTTTTCTAGCTATTTTCCTATCTCATTTTTCCCTCAACAGCTCTGATCAAAACTAAAAGCTGGGCCTGGGGAGATGGTTCAGTTAGTAAACCTGAATTTGATCCCCAGAAGCCATGCAAAAATGCTGGGTTTGGTGATCCTGGGGAGGCAGACAAACAGAAAGGCAGATCCTGGGGGGCTCGTCAGCCACCAACCCAGCTTACTAGGTCAGTTTTAGGCCAGTGAAAAAATTCTGTGCCAAAAAAAGGGTAGATGTTCCATGAGGAAAGATATCTGAAGTCGTTCTCTGGCCCTAACATGTATGTGCATACTCTCATACACACGCACACAGTTTTTCCCCAATGCTAGCAGACATAAATCAAGAAGTTGTATGACACAATAAAGGGAAAGACTGGACAAGGTATTACCATGAGCATCTTTACATTAGAATCAGAATGTACTTTAGGTTTAGTTCGTATGAAACTTATATATAATGAGAACATTATAACTATTAAAGACAGAAAATGGTAACTTTCTTCTGATAGTTAATTCTAAGAGAAACATCCCCTAAGGGCTTAGAAGCTTAAAGCAGAAATATTTAAACTGGGTATGGTTGCACAGGTTTATAATCTGAGCACTCAGGAGGCTGAGACAGGAGCGTTCAAGGCCTATATAATGACTCTGATGTATATAATGACTGATGTCAACCTACACTACATAATGAGATGATGTCTCAAAAAACAGACAAATTAAAAACAGGAAAAAATAAAAAAGCAAGAAATGAGAGGGAAAACTAGAAAGGTGGCCCAGATGCTGTTGTGCAAGCATAGGACCTTTGTTCAATACCCACATAGTAAAAGGAGGTCATGGTGGCATGTTGGTAACCTTAGTGGAGTTCACTGGTCATGTAGCCTAGCTAAATTGGTGAGCTCTGAGTCAGCCAAAGACAATGACTTAAATAACAAAACAAGCAATTAACGATACATGATGTCGGTCTCCGGCTTCCACATGTATACATACATATGAACACATGTACATACTACAGGAATGTGTATATACCTACCATACCACCCACCCATATAATAACAATCTTCAATGTTTGAAATGTCTGAAGTTACCTGAAGGATTTTGTAGAAGCTTACTTCCATACCTGGAACCAACTGTTTAAGTTTGTTCATCAAATCAAGAGTTTTCAAAATTACATCAGCAGCAAGTTTGCTTTAAAAAAAAAAGTCGTATTTTAAAGTAGGTAACTCAAAAATACATTATTTTTGTTCTTATAATTCTAAACATGAAAAATCCACCATCTTTGTTTTTAAAATTCAAGAAGTATCATTTCTGTTAAGAATTAAAATACCATAAATTTAACATTCTATGGACGCAAGAACCAAAAAGAACAAAGTGTATCAAGAGTCTAAGTTTCAGACTATTTTCTATTCTCAAGTACCCCAACGGTTCAAATATCTATTGTGTTAGTATTAGAACATGACTCACTTTATTCTTAGCAACCGTAACTGAAAATTGCCTAATATGTAGTGAATGAATTATGCTAGATCATGCACTCTTTGTATCTGAAAGAAGTATGAAAGTAAAAAGGGAGCTGCCAAGATGCTCCAGTAGGTAAGGATGCTTGCCACTGAGCCCAGCATCCTGAGTTTAAACCATGAGACCCACATCGTGGATGGAGGGAGAGAACCAACTCCCTCAGGATGTCCTCTGACTATACATGGGCAGTGGCATGCCTGCCCATCCCCCTAGTAAATAAAAGTTAAAAAGAAGTTAATCAAAAAGAAAATCCTTGTTTTTTCAGAAGACAATACTGACAATTATGTCATTATGGAAACAGGAACTAAATAGAGTGTCTAGCACTAATCAGGTTCACCAAAATACTCACTAGAAGGACTTATTCACCAGAGGGAAGGGGCATAAGTAAAAAGCCTCAAAACCTTCAGTAAAAACCCATCTTTAACGAAAACTCCCAGTGTGCTAAGAACGAAGAGTTGTTTTGTTATTAAGAAATTTCCAACGAGGATCAGTCTTCTTGTAATAATACTATCATTAAAAAATATAAGTGAATCAAAAATTAAATTGCTGATGCAATGTAAAAATGTAGCGCCAAAAAAGAAATGCTCACGATCCATAAACTAATTCTATTTCTCTCTCAAACACACGCACGCACGCACGCACTCACTGGTGCACACGGGGGGGGGGGGGGGGGAAGGGGACCCTAATAATATATAAACCATAAATGTTAAAACTATGTAGCAAAAGTATGATTACATTGAAATTATTTTTTAATTCTTTTCTTTCAATTAACAGAACATAACTAGGGATGGTCCTTAAAGACAAAAATTATACTTTTAATTGTATATTAACTTTAACCCATTTGCTGTTTGGATTTAAAATACTCACCATAATTCAGAATCTGCTACCTTTGTTCCAAACCCCAAATCAATCTTGCCATATGTAAACTGTTGTTCTATTAGTGTGGTACACTTTATAGTAGTCAATACTTTTACAATATGCATTTTCAAAGTGTCATCTCCACATAGAGGTAAAATTTTGTTAAGATACACAGACATCCAAAGACAGTATATAGTTTATAGCTATATATAATTTATAAGATTCAGAACAATTTCAAACGAATTATCTCACTTCTGTAATCAGTCTAATTATCATTACAAATCTTGATGAAGGATAGACAAGTAGAACTGGAAAGTATTATGGTGACTGGCAAATAACAAGAGGTGGACTCATAACAAATTTCTGACACAAGGTAAAATCAGAGCAAGGATGCTTCTTCACTGGATGTTTATTACTTGGTTAGCAGCAATCACAATGTTTCAATATAAATTTGATGAATCAAGGGAACTTATTTTCTCATTTTATAAATTATGAATATCTATCAGAAAAAATGGCCAGGTATAAAGCATCCTTAAGGTTAAGCAGAACAATTCCATGCCTCTACAGCAGTGATTTTCAACCTTGCCTACATGTTAAAGTCACCCGAATAGATTAAATAATCACAAATACATATCCTCCACTATTCTCAAGACTTGCAATTACTCCAATTACATGAGGGTCTCTGTATCCTTTTTGTACTTGCTTCCCACATGATTGCTTCCCCTATAATGCCAATCCAAGGCTTAAAGTGCTTTAAAGGAAGATGAAAATTAAGGAGTAGCAGCTCAGGATAGAGAGTAAAGACAGAGTTAGTTCTAGAGAATAAGAGGGTTATGGAATATAGTCATATATTCTTGTTCCTCTGTGATACAAGGAGAGGTGATCAGGGAAATGTACAAAATCTCATCAACATAGTGTGGCTCCTTGCTCATGATGGTGGGAGGGAGAATTTAAATGAAATACTAAAAAACTGTGACTTGTAATTCTTAGCAACTCAGAATTAGTTTTCAGAAAAAGTGAACAAAAGAAAATCAGTACCAGAGGCAGCAAGTACTCATGGAGTAAGTTTGTTTTGATTTACTTGTCTTTTTAAACCATGTGTGATGTTATCTTGATTAGAATATTTATGTAGGCTTTTGTTAAAATACAAGCTTTTTAAAAAGATGGAGGTAAAAATTATGAACACTATCAATATCTGATTCTTCAGTGATATACTCCACAAAAGCCTGGCAGGAATTGTTAACAACCATCAAAAACAGAAGACAGCAATGTATTGAAGAGTCATTTCAGACTGTATGTCCAGTGTCAAACTGTGATAAAAACTGTTCAAACTTCAAAAAGCATTTATTGGGCTGAGAATGTCATTCAGTAACAGAGTATTTGACTAGTAAGCCCCTGGATTTAATCATCTCCTGTGTGCATAAGTGTGTATAGACACACACACACACACACACACACGCTCTCATGCATGCACGCACAGAGCTGTATCTAGAGAAAAATGAGTTCTGAACTTACTTTAATGTAAGCACAGAAAACAACAACAAAAAAACACCTCTGGAGAGTATTTTTAGGGGATTTTTTTTGTTTAAAAGTCAGTTCAATATACTCCTTCTGATAAGGGTATGTATATACATGCATGTCTGTGCACAGGTGTGCATACACCTGTATGTGCATGTGTGTGGAGGCCAACTACTTTGAGTATGGTTTCTCACTGACCAATAGTTCACCCAAATTAAGCTAACTGGCCAGGAAACCTGTCTCTACCTCCTCAGAGCTGGAATTACAAGCCTATACTAATACACTTACATAACATTTTTATGTAGTTGCATGGAATCATACTCAAGTGCTCATGTTATCATGGCAAAACGCTTTATTGACTGAGCTATCTCCCCAACCCCTCTGTTCAATATTTTTGAGATATTAGGAAGGGAAGTTGTAAGATTACAAACAGAGATAAAATGTAGTAAGAGTAAAGAGATGTTATAATTTTATATGATGGTAAAGGATATTTAATAAAACTTCAGTGGCTTTAATCATCCTTTCACATTTTTTCCTTAGAAAGGCCTCATCCAGATTTTGTTCTGTGAACTGAAGCTGATCAAGGATTGTAGGCAGCAGAAGAGTCACAAAACGGTCAGCTGAGACACAGTTCCCAGTATCTATGATGTCCTAGGGGCATTATCATCAAGAATGATTAAAATTAAAGATGGAATACAGAACACAAAATAGTCATTATTGAGTTGCACATATTAATAAATTTTTAAATTTATATCAACACAATTTACTCAAGCATCCTATTTAAAAATTATTACTTAAATTTTACATATTTAAGCCAGGTTTTAGGCCTATGATGGCTTTTTCCTAAAATGGGACAGTAAGGTTTTGCAAACAAGACACTTCAGTGATCTAAATCTTGTGTTTACTATTTAATAAAAATATCCTGAATTTGCTAAATTTAATCAAAATAATTAGTAACAGACTCATCTTAATAGTGTATAACCACAAATAATCTCCATCAAAAAAAAAAATCTCAATTTTAAAATGCAAAAAAAAGTAACAGTCAGGACCAAGTTAAAACACAAAACTAATTTATGTATACATTTTAGTGAATATATTTAATCACTCATACATATATTGTGCATAGGATCTAGTTATAAGATGGAAAATACTTTTGGAAGATTGGGGCAAGCTGGCTGAATGAAAATAAAAACAAGGAGAAGAGCAGAGAATGTTAAATTACCCAGTAGCATAATCTATAGATGAATGTGCATAGCACGCCGTTTAGTATGATTTGCTTCGTTTCACTAATTAAGACCAATATTCTACCTTAATTCACTAAATTAATAAAAGGCAGTGGTCAATATCTATCAAGATAAAGAGACAGAATATGGCTGTTGCACATATAGTTGCATAACCAGAAACCATATAGATCTTATGTAACAAGTATATACAGTTTAACAAATTATGTACGTATGTAAAAGCAAATACAAGGTATTCAGTGAAAAATGGAAAATACTAATATATGTGACTATGGCAGGAAAAGTCAGCAGTCTAATTATGGGGCATCTTAATTGTTAATATTTTCTTATGTATGAACAATTAGAAGTTCACAGGAATGTTTTCAAAATAAATTGTTAACAGAGCAACATGAAAGTTGAAGTCAACTTCTCTATCATTCCATTACCTCAAATATTTCCTTGAACAACTCCAATGCTAAAAGAGAACAGCTTTCAGATCCATCCAAAGGTTGGCTTAACCAACGAAGTAGAGCCACAGTGGGTTCTAAGCACTTACGACGGCTTCCTGGAATGGTGTTGCCAGATGAAGACTGTTCAAACATCATCTGAGTGAACACATGACGCAGCTGAGTCACTGAGCAGAATGCAAGAAGTAATTCTAAAACCTGTGTGATATGTGATATAAAGTTTTCATTAAACTTTGTTGGACTTTACTGGATAAAGCATAAGATGAAGCTAAAAATGCCATACAATTTTAAGGAAAATATTCTGAAACAAGGGGCTGGAGAGATGGTTCAGCAGTTAAGAGCACTGATTGCTCTTGCAGAGGACCTGGGTTCGATTCCCAGCACTCACATGGTGGCTACGAACCCTCTTTAACTCCAGTTCCAGGGGAATCTGTAGCCCTCTTCTGACCTCTGCAGCACTGCATGACACGGGTGCATTCACATACATGCAGGCAATACACTCATACACAAAAAATAAAAATAAAATATTTTAAAAAATTCTCAGACAAAATTTTAAGTAGTTTCTAGTTTGTTTTTCAGTATTATATTTCAAATGCACAATAAAGCTCCAGATTACAAAGGATATTATTAAAAGTACTTACCTTCTGATAAGCAGAACTAAGAACCAGACAAGGTGAATGGCAACTTCAATTATTGCTATAGTCTACTTATACTACTTATCTTTAAAAACACAAAATGTTTTATTCTTAAAATTCAAACAAAACTCAACAATTTAGAATTAAGAATACTTGCTATATTTACAAGTCCCACATAAGCTCAAGCCAGACAAGAGCCTAGCATAAATGTGTGAAGCAGTAAGAAAATCCAACCCTACCTGAAGAAGCATTAGCATCAATGGCTGCTGGGAGGGGGAAAGTCAGTCTTAAGGGTGGGACTCTGGGTAGGTTGACCAGGCTCCAGTGGATGAACCCACACCAAACAGTAATTGGGACACAAACCTGATTCTATAGGAACATATGTGTTTGTGTGTGTACACACACACACATATATATATACATATATGTGTGTGTATATATATGTCTATGCATATAATTATATCAGAGTACTGGAAATTTGTAAAGTGGTAGTAAGGGGGAATGCAGATAGTGGAGAAGAGTCAAATATGATCAAAATATATTTAATGAAATTCACAGAAATTCAATGAAAAGGAAAAAATTAAGTTTTTTTTTTTAAATAAGAAAGAATACTTGCTATAATCCTGAGTAGGAAATTACTATAAGACATTAAGATAAAATACAAAGTGGCATCCCATCCCATGGGCTCAGTAAAGTGTCTACTTACTATGCACAAATGACTGGGTTCAATTTCTAGACCAGCGAAATGAAAAAAACAAAAACAAAAAAATGGCTTTCCAAAGCCTTAAAAGCCTATGCACAGCTAGAAGTGGTGGTGCATGCCTTTAATCTCAGTACTTAGGAGGCAGAGGCAGGTGGATCTCTGTGTGTTCAAGGCCAGCCTGGTCTACATAGGAAGTTCTAGGACAGTTGGGGCTACAGGGAGGCCCTGTCTCAAAAAGACCAAAAATGTCCACACTATAATCACATACTGTTGGCATTAGCTCACTACCAATTTCTTCTTTGTTTTATAATTTGGGCTTTAGGGCTGGAGATGAGTTCAGTGGTAGAGTGCTTACCCTGCAATCACAAGGCCCTACATTCAATTCCCAATACCTAAGTAAAGAAATTGGGCATCATACCACTGTATCTCATTAATCTGATTATAAGCCATCAGATTACAATGTATGTAATGTACTATAAGCCAGAAATTAAAATGATTTTTCTTAGCATGTCTTTATTTCCTATCTTTTAAAACGTGTTTCTCAGGGCTGGAGAGAGAGCTCAGTGGTTAAGAACATTGAATGTTCTTGCAGAAGGCCCAGGTTCGAATCCCAGCATCCGCATGGCAGCTAACAACTGTCCGGTAACTCCAGTTCCAGGGTATCCAACAACCGCTTTTGTCCTCTGTGGGCAATGCATGACACGGGTGCACTTACCTACATGCAGGCAATATATGCATACATGTAAAAAATAAAAATAATAAAAAATGTGTTTCTCACAAAGGATGTAATTGGAATTTGCACCTTAATCATCAATTTCACAGCATCTCATTTTAGCATTCATTTATTCTTTACATAGGTTCACTCTATGTAGCCAAGATGGGCTGGGATCTTCCTGCCTAAGCTTCTTAAATATTGGGATCTTAGACACGTGGCGCTTGTGCCTGTTAAAGATTGTAACAGAATTCAGGCCACTCAAATATACAGTAACAAATAACACCTAATTTATTTTCCTAAATATGAACTGTATTCCTTTCTTTTTAATAAATAATATATTTACACGGTTGTAAAATCAAATCCTTACCTGTGGTTAGTCTTTCTGGGTATAAGTAATGTCCCTAGTTTATTGTATATCTTGCCACAGGTATCTTATGCACATATAAGAAGATAGTTTTCCAGGTACATTTTCTTTTATGGACAGAAAAGCAAAGACCATCAGGACAAAACTGGGTAAATTTCCAAAAGTAAACACATCGGTATAATTAGCACTCAGATAAAGATGGCTATCAAAAAAATTTGAGAATCCCTTTCTATGTCACTCTCCTCTAAATTTCTGATACCAGGAATTAATTTTCTCTGAGTTATTTTTGAATCTTTGCATTTCCATATATATATATATTTTTTTTCTTTCTTTCTTCCAGTCAACTGCTTGTTTACACAAATAAGTTCACATGGAATTTTTTTTTTTTAACTACTTTTTGTTTTCTTTTTCAAGAGAGGGTCTTGTTGCATATCACTGGCTGGTCTCAAATTTTCAGTGATCCTTATATCCTTGCCTCCCAAGTGCTGGAATCATAGGAATATTTGCAACCAGCCCAAGACAGAGATGAATATGGCCAAAATCAAAATCGCAACTTACTTAATACCTTAGACCTTTTTTTTGGTTACTAAATAGTGTATTTCCTTTGTTTTTTTTTCATCTTTAAAATTTATTTTTATGTGTATGAGTGTTATATTGGCATGTGTGTAAATGCACCTGTGTAATACAGTGCCCATGGAGGAAAGAAGAGGGTGTCAGATCCCCCTGGAAGAGGAATTAAGGATGGTTGTTAGTGGGTGCTTGGATTCAAACCTACGTCTTCTGGAAGACCAGCCAGGGTTCTTAAAAAATGGGGCCATCGTACCAGCACCTCTTCGTTATTTTTTTCAATGTGTATGAGTGTTTTGCTTGCATAATATGTAGTTGCACCATGTACATGCAATACCTTAAGAAGTGAGAAGAGGGTGCCAGATGCCCTGGAACTAGAGTTTTGGTTGTGCCGGGAACCAAAACCCAGTCCTCTGTAAGAGCAGCCAGTACTCTTAACTGCTGAGCCACCTCTACACTCCCAGACTGTATATTTACCAAAATGAACTTTGAGTAAGATAACATGGTATCCCAACCTCAAAAGTCTGGGCACACCCAGGGCCTGCAGGACCTGCTGCAGGCCTCTCTCCTACCCGCAGGGCCCTCTCCGGTGTAAATCCATCTCGCCCTCTGCACCTTGACTCCCCCAGCCTCATTCACCCTCTCCTCTCCCCTGCTGTTCTCTCCTCCTAATTTGGGTCCTGTCCCATTCCTTGTCTTGGGGCCCCAGACACCTGGGGAACCAATACTGCTTCT